TATATATATATTATATATTCTTTTTTCAAAGTCTAAAATTATTCACCAAAATCTAAAGCCACCCACCATCGCTCTTTAATGAAAGGTTGGCGTAATTAATATCTACACAAATTCATCGAATAGAAAGGTTATCACCCGTCTTCTCGATGCATTATTCATAGCATACAATAAAGTAGACTTTTGAGGATAATGGAAACGTACGCTCTCTTGACTTGCTGATAGGTTTAACCTCGCCGTGGAGAATGTCCAGGAAAAAGTCGGGCGGATTATTGTGGTCTTCAATTATGTACCCTTTGAAAGAAAACGAAATTGCATGGCAGATATGAGAAAATAGTAATAAAGTGAAAATCTATGGGTAATACTTACCTAGTCTAGAGAAGTAATTCACCGGTTCATTACGAGCCGGGCCGTGGTAGACTATTCGACCATTGGACATTAACGTAAGGGAGTCAAATAACTTGTAGATTGAGTATCTCGGCTGATGGATGGAGAGGATTATTGTTCGCCCGCGTTGAGACAGCCTGAATACAGAATGGGAGATAATAAATAAGCACTCTGAGGCAACTATTGTTCTTCCTCGTGACCTCACCGAAGTACTTTATTTGCTACCTACCTTCCGATTGGTCAAAATAATTTAATAGTCAAGGGAACTTTGCGTGAACCCGATTCATCTCTAGCAATCGAATTGCATGACAAATCGCTTTACATTTATCAAACACCGCTAAAATTCTACACCCAGTAATAAAAGCAGTTCTCATAACACAAGCTAAAATCGCCATTTATTTCAAAGGAAGATTGGAAGTAGTGCATATTCTTGATTTGCAATTTATATTGTGTGATCATTGAAAATTATGTGCTAAAAAATGAGCTCATTTACATTTATTTCAAATAAGGAGAAGAAATTTGAAAATTGTCGTCTTTCTTATCCTTTATATAACTCAGCATCTAATTCTGAAACACAAAAGACCTTGAAATTGTAAATCGTAAGCAACTCCGGTATGGAATTGATGCTTATACTTCCTCCGTACCTTTACTAAAATTGGGCACTATTGATTTTTTACAGGTCAGATCTGGAACACTATGTATCGCTAGAGTAAGACTGACTTAGGCTAGATACCGTAGGTAAAAATGTAATTTGGCTTATTCCAAGATATTACATTAATTGTTTTATATAGGAATACAAGTTGATTCTACTTTTTTTAAGAACGGAGGCCAAAATGGATTCGAAATGTCAGACGACGTGTGGTCTGGCTTTGATGTAGATAACAAACGACTCACATCTCCAACTCTGATTCATACTCTCTCACCTCCAAGCCCTCCACAGCTCCTCCTACCAACAACAACTCTATCTTTGGCATCTGAAGCCCTCTCCATACCTATTTATCTTGATTTTTCTTTTGTTAAGTCGTTTGTATTTCTCTTACTACATCTGTCCTTGTTCTAGTCGCATCTCGCAAACAAAGCCAATACTCAATGTTCATTTTTTTAACTAAAAGAGAGATTAAACTTAAGATGAGTTCGTCAAAGCGTGTATATAAAAGGAGTGTATTCATAAAAACAACTATTCGGTTAAAGAAACGATTCGATTGTCTGTTATCATAAAATATCTTGCATAAATAGTTGCACTTTATCTCACAGTTATGCGTAGTTGCCTTATAAACAATAGAATTGCTCTACTGGAAAATAACGCAATAAACCCACAGATGTATGAAATGCAAAGTATGTGGAATAGATCTTCGATATGTAAGTTTGGAATTTGACAACCTATTTCGAGAAAAAATAACTCTTTCAGTTGAAGGAGAAACTATGGATGATTGACTTAAAAGTGAGACTACTTAGTGACCTAATTTCAGATCCGTATCTACCCCATTTCAATTACGAAGGATATCCTCTTTATTGTTGTAAGCTGCTAGTTATAATCTCAACTTCTACCAGCCGGTTCTAATTATTTTATTCCTACATGCTTACTTTCACGTGGTGCACCCTAGGCAACGTACACTCGTACGACAAAGAGTGTATAAACCGGTAGTTGACTTCTGACTTCAAACTACTATGGCCCTATTGTATGTCATATTCCACCACTTCCACAGTACTCACCTCACCTTTTCTCTCCCTTTGTGTCTGGCTGTCTCTTTTACAACTACGAATCACTCTTCTGTCCCCTACCTTTTGTGACTTTGATGTGCCTCCTCACTGTGAAACCCAAAGTCAGCTAAAGGCTAGTGATAACTATCATAAAGCCAGCCATTTGATATAAATAAATCTTATTTCCACAATTTTCTAACTAAATAAGAACCATTACCCCGCAGCAAACTCATCGATCTTAACAGTTCAACATTCTAATCTCATAGCTGGCACTTATCCTATGTTCACTCCTGCCATGAATATTCTATTACCATATACAATACCAGTAAAATAGACTTCAATAAACAATAATTTAGATCTCATTTATACAAAATTTTTAAGTATCTTACGACGAAACTCACGTCTTCAAGGTTTGAATGACGCTGCCAGCAGTAAATGCATCAAGTCCTGTTGTAGGCTCATCTAAGAAGAGCACGGACGGATCTGCAATGATTTCCATTCCAATACTCGTCCGCTTCCTCTCTCCACCCGAAATACCTCTAATCAACTCCGTTCCAATCTGAAGTGCATTTTTAAAGAGAGGGCACAAATGAGTGGAAAGCACCAAACCCACTTTATTTAATATCCTCCTTCAAGTGTATATATGGGCAAGTAGAACACGAGAAGAACTACATACGTACGCACACGCACGCACGCACGCGCGTACCGTGTGACCATTAGGAACAGCAGCTTACCTTGCTGTCAGCGATTTTCGTTAATCCCAGTTCATCAAGAATCTCATTGACTTTCTCCCTGGTCTCAGATAATGAGTAGCCTTTCTTCCTCTTCAGCATCGCGGCGAGATAGAGAGACTCGCGTACTGTCAATGTTCCCATGAGAATATCGTCCTGTCATGAGGAAGAAAATAGCTCCCTCTTAAGTCACAAAGCAAAGTATACTACAACAGTAAACAATTCTGCCAATCCATGAGCTTCCATTGAAAAAAGAGTGGAAGCTCGTATTGAGGGAAAACAAGGCAGCCTATCAACTTGAAGAGTAGAAGTATATACAAGTGCAGAGGGGTGTGAGGAGAAAGGGCGTATGCAAAACAGAACGACGTTCAATGTGCGATCAATTCTGCAAACAGTCTGAAAGATCTGATGGATATAGTAAAGGCAACACAGATGACATGTATGGATCACTAAAGATATGTACATATCTGGGGTGTGCGATAGACTTACCTCCACGTGGTGCAACCTGGGCAACGTATGCTCATACGCCAAAAAGTCTATTAACCGGCAGTTGACTTCTGACTTCAAACTACCATCACCCCACTGTATGTCATATTCTACAACTTCCACAGTACACATCTCACATTTTCTCCACCTTTGTGTGTGTCTGCCTCTTTTACATCTGTGAATCGCTCTTCTCTTCCCCACCCCTCGACTTTCTGCTACTTTGATGAACCTTCCCTCTGTAAAGGCCCCTCGACTTTCTGCTACTTTGATGAACCTTCCCTCTGTAAAGCCCGATATCAGCTATATGGGTAATGATGACTATTCAAAACGCCTGCCATTTGAAAGGATAGAATAAATCATTTTTTTGTTGAAAAGAGCTTATATGGGTGCTCAAAGTTCTTACTTAAAGAAAATCTTTAGAAGCGAACCTAGCCAATTTCATTAAATTCTGTCCTTCATCAAGATAGTGATTTCCGAAAAGGTATTACTATTCAATTTTCTAACTTATAAATACTCATAAATAGTAAAAAAAGGGTTTTCGAAATATACCGAAAAACGATAAGTGCTGAGTAGTGGGATGTACATCCCATTTCTAATTGCAAGGATCGCACGATTAAATTTCCAAATTTATTTGTTGAAGTACGATAATAGACGTATAACAGTTCGGCAAAGTTTATAAATTAGACCATTCAGATTCACCGACCTACGATTATCGTCTTTTGCTAGATTCTCTAAATGTACGGCACAATCATTAAAAAAGTATAAAAATCGTCTTTATGCAAGACAAGATTGTGAACTATGCCAACATGAATTTGCACTATTAGGTGAGAAAAAAAATACGAAACGCCTTGCATGAGCAATAACATTTTGCATGATCTTGCGTTTAGCGATATCTCCTTTCAATTTGTCAAAGTGTCTTCGACCTCCTTCTTGCTAATGGCAAGTATTATGTTGATGAAGGGGTCCATGATAGACTTACCTCCACTCGTATGGCCAATAAAGTCTATAATTAATTCCGAGATTAATTCCTGACTTCAAACTAGCATAACCCCACTTCATGCCATATTCCACCACTTCCACAGTACTCACCTCACCTCGCCTTTTTCTCCACTTGTGTCTATCTCACTTACACCTGTGAATCACTCTTCTGTCCCCCCCCCCCCCACTCGACTTTTTGTGACTTTGATATTCCTCCTCTCTGTGAAGACCGAGGTCAACTAAAGGGTTAATGATAACTGTTATAAAGCATGGAAAGAACCAACGTACCTGCACAACGTAGCCGGAGATACATTTGAATTGTTTCGGTTGCGGATGTCCGTCGATGAGGACTTCACCAGTGAGATAGCGCGGCTGCTTGCGGCCAGCAAGAACGTCCAGTAATCTAAAATATGCCAGTCGCAAGAGGCAATATCAACAGTAGGCAATAAGTTTACTTCACGGGTGCGCAATAGACTTACCTCCACGTGGTGCACCCTGGGCAACGTATACTCATACAGCTAAAAAGTCTATTAACTGGCAGTAGACCTCTGACTTCAACCTACCATGACCCGACTATATGCATATTCGACCCCTTCCACAGTACTCATCTAATCTTTTCTCTGCCTTTTTGTCTGTTTCTGTTACATCTGTGAATCACTCTTCTGTCCCCTCCCCTCCCCTCTCGACTTTTGTCACTTTGATGTTCTTCCTGCTCTCTGTGAAGCCCCGAAGTCAGCTCCAGGGCTAATGATAACTATCAAAATGCCTGCCATTTGATATAAATAAGTGAGTTTAATTCACAATTAATAAGATGAACGGTGGGCCAACGGTCTGTCAAATGCGAGAAAGTCCAATTCAAGATGAGGCGTCCATTTCGAAAACCCAGACACAAGCATGAATGTAATAAAAGCAGAGAAGTCGGATGATAGTTGGAGTGAGTATTTTTACGATTTGGCACGACTGAATGAATGACACGCAATTTCATATTCCGTAAACCTCGGTAATTGTACTCAGAAAATAAACATAAAACCACTCCTCCACCCACAACATCACTCCTATGTGAAATACGCACTTTTTGTGAAGAAAACTAGTTTCTTGAGACAGCAGTTTTCAGGAAATTCAAGTCGAAAACAAGTTTGGAAGGTCACTCTAGTTACTTTGGTATTTGAGAACGAAGTTACTACAGATAAAAGCAAAGCTACATTTCCAGCCAATAGAAGCACTTGAAAAGTACCACCCGTTTCTAGATTATCTGAAAAGGTTGGTACAATAGTATTGTCTATGGAAATGGATGTTTAGACTCCGCTCTGCTCCACTATTAACTATTGGCTATTTTCATGAGTACTTTATTAATTAACGATTTAACGGCATACTTCAATCACATGTTTTGCTATTAATTGCTCCGATTATAAGAGACAAATTTATCCAGATGGCGCGAGTAGAGATTTTATTTACCTAACTGGTAAATAATCTCTGAGCATCAAGAACACAAACACTTACTCAAGTGTCAAATTCAGGAATTTGAGACTGGAAAGATTAGAGCATGGCACATTGAGCTGTAGTCATCAGGTAAAGTTTCTGGCAACTTGATAATGCCGAAATTCTATCTAACTCAGTAACTTTCCACTAATTCTATATTGGACAATTTTGAGTGTGCGATAGACTTACGTCCACGTGGTGCACCCCGGGCAACGTATACTCATACGGCAAAAAAGTCTATTAACCGACAGTTGACCTCTTGACTTCAAACTACCATGACCCCACTGTATGTCATATTCGACCCCTTCCATAGTACTTATCTAGCTTTTTCTCTGCATTTGTGTCTGTCTGTGTCTTTTTCATCTGTGGATCTCTCTTCTGTTCCCTCCCCCTCTCGACTTTTTTCTCTTTGTTGTTCCTTCCCCTCTGTAAAGCCTGAAGTGAATTAAAGGGCTAATTTGAAGTAAATAAATATTGGATAATATAAAAATTCTTCCTAATGAAGCACCTTTCTTTAATTAAATAATATTGTTGATATGATAAGGGAAAATATCAGCATCTCCTAGTAATTACCCAGGTCTTTGTTTGAGCTGGTTACTATTAAAATTAAATTCACAAAATTGCATATAATATCAAGAGACGCTTCAAAACTCACGATGATTTACCACAACCAGTGGGTCCCATGATAGCATTCACTCCTGGACGCATGATTCCACTCACTCCATTCAACACCACTTTCTTATTAACTTTCGCGCAAGGCATCTTCCTCACAGGCACCACATACTCAACATCTCGGAAGGTGATTACCGAACCCTGAATCATCGAACGAGTACTCATCATGCTCACAGAGATATCACCTCCTCTACGACCTCCAACTCCATCTCCTCGAGAGCTGCGCTTTCCTCCAAGACTCCGAGAGTAGTGAAGGGGGTCGGGATTCTCTGGTGTATTATCCACAACGCCTCTTAAACTGTCCCATCGCTTTTCTCGAGGGAGGGAGGTGATGGCAACTTGTGAATATTTGTTTAAATAAATGTTAGTTACGGTTAAAATTCTCGTTACCCATTCACAGTTCGGTCACTTGTAAGCGTGCTAATTAATGAGGTCATGAAAGAGTACAAGTGTGTAAGATTACTTTATTTAATTCTAGTCAAAAATGACTTTTCAATTGTACGAGGCGATGGAGCTTAACTTGAGGGCTGATTAAGTAGCGATATTACTAACAGTGCACTTTAAGGTGGTTGAAGAGTGGAGGTTTGGATTCGCTTGTATTTCCTAAATCACGAACCAATCACAAGCCCCTTCAAATTAGATGGAATGAAAAAATGTATCCGAAAAAAGTGAGTTTAATTATCTGGAAAGTGACTCCACTCTCGACTAAGGGGCTAAATGCCTGTAAGTTGAAGTGAGTTTCATCTTCAGGGAAAACGGCCAAATTAGAACTGAAATGCTAAGGTATTCAACTCAATTTATTTTGGCACAATCAAGGAGTAAATATCTATTTTCTTTATTTGGCAACGCTTTAACCTTGACCTATTCCGAAATCAGTGAGCTTTATAAAAATATTTCTAGTTTGTACTAACATCCTTACGACCTTGTAAAGAAGCCACCCGCATTGCTAAAATAGTGCAGAGCATGTAGCCAATCCTAGAATTTTATTGATTAATACAAGATCTATAAAATTTATTTCTTTTCATCGATTCAAAAATTTGTGCACTACCCCCGGTCATTTTTTATTCAAATGACTGTCCTTTTATTTATTCAACGGTATAATTCTATTTTAATTAACTTAAATTAACAAACCAAAACAACACGTGATAGAGGGTCTAGTTAACATGGCCAAAAATAACAAAAAAATAAAAAGTTGAATCATTTATTTCCCTAATTGCATTGCGTGCTGAATGCCTGAGCCAACACAGAAGTGAAAGGAATTATACAGAATATTGGACACTTATGTTGACGAAGAGATAAGAAAAGTTTTAAATTCAAAATGATGTAGGCTAGACCTTAAATTTTCAAAAAAAGACATGATTTGATCGAAATCTAAAGCAATTAAGGGAACAATGCAGATCTTGCTATTGGATCAACTGTGTTTCCTCTAGATCCTACTTCTTGCTTCACTTCACGCCCTATTCCTTGACGAGACAATTCCGATCCGTTTTGTTTGAGGATTTGAGATTATGAAAAAGTTATATTTATTGGTTTTTTGCTTATATACTTCCTTCTTACTAAGTACATTTTTTTACATTATATACAATTAAATTGAAATTAAACTTTCACTGGTACAGAAATACTCAAAGTTGAAAATAGTGCAAAAGACCGTTTTCTTGTATCCTCCACCTTCAATTTGGAGCACAGAGTATTTTCTTGAAAAATCACCTTTCTCTATAGCTAGCCATTAAAACCAACAAACAACCCCCAAGCATAACATCCACCCTCATCTGGTATTTGATACTTCTAACAACTTCCAAGTTCTGGACGATCTGGGTCGACTAGTTATGGAAATGGTAAAGTTGAGTGCTTAAACATCCAAATGTCTACGTAGACAATGACATATCAGCAAGCAGAAGAAATCAATAACTGTGTGTCATGGCAATAAGACAACTCACCATTTTCTCCATCTACTTCGCCACCATCCTCAGGAATAGGAACACCGAGAGTGAGTTTCCCTTCTGGTTTTCTATTTATTGGAAGATCTTCCACAAATCCGCCAGCCACTTGATCCGGCGAATAAGCAGACCCTTGCCTCGGCTTCCGATCCAGTCGATACTCTCCTGAACCAGATTCATTGAATATCTCTTCATCCTAAAGAAACGGAGAGAGAGAGAACAAGATTTGAAGTGTGTCAAGACACTATTATTTCCTTTGGTTAGAAGCGCGGTGTTATGATAGAGAAGCTCAGTGAGTTGGCGATGACCACTGTGGTTAGTGAGCAAAACACCCCCTTTCTCCCAGTGAACATACAAACTCACAAAGTACTTTGAGAAATGAATATAAGGCACAGAAGAGGCCAGATAAGGTCTAGTAGCCCAATTTATTACCTTCCGTGCATGCGGAAGCATTAGAGACATCGGTCGGCGCAGTAAATCACTCTATGATAATGATAACAAATTATGGTGAGATAAGTTGAAATTCCACTTTATGTGTGGGGAGAGTTTAGAAAATTGCACCTACTTTCTCCATCAAGTTACTGATAACTGATACAGAGTGTGCGGATGAGTGATGTTTACTATGATTGTGAACTTCCACAAAAGAAGAGGGATTGAGAGTATCTGTTTCCTCCTGCCCTTTATCCAATTCCCCTTCTGTACCTTCTTCCTCTTCATCCGCTTCAGAAAGATGTCTTAGAGCTGTCCTCTCATCAACTAAGAGACCATGGCTACCTTTGTGCCTCCTCATCCGGGGAACCAGAGTTGGCAAGAAGGCATGACGATCACTATTCCCCACCTTGATAAATTAATGAATGAATGGAAACAATAAACAAGCATAGTATCAACAATGAGACAAAATCCGGCTCACAGATGAATATGAGCAGTAATAATCTGTGCCACTGCTTGAGTATGAAGGAGTGTGAACTTCTGTTCCCAATAAATCGGGGATTATGTAGCCCCCGGTAATTGTAGCTAGGGTTTGCTTGTGTTGAGAATTTAGCGTACCACTTCGCCGAAAATGACGATCAGAATTCGTGATAGAAAGCGGCATTGAAGTAGTCAGTGCCACAGGCAGAGCTGTTACGGAAATACCCTAATGCTCTACTTTTGTGTATTATTACGCTAAAGAGCCAATGAGCTTCAAGTACACTTGCTCGGCGAACTATGGGTGGTTGGCTGGCTACTTAACATACATTGTTCTTTGGTTGTCATGACTAATTGTCATGACAACCCACATACTATTTAGAAGACTGATGCATTTCAAGGCGACGAGAGTAATAAGAAGGCGAAACGATGAAATGAAATAGAAAAAGAGATCGACTCACTTTTTCAACAGAATCTACTAGATCCATTTGATTGTTCTATTGTCGTGAATTTGAACGAAACGATCTATAAATGTTAATGTAAATAAAATAAAAAAAGCACTTCAATGAAAAGAAGACATGAACCTATTTACGGTAAAAAATTATATATAATTAAGAAAAATATTCATGACGATCTTGTCCGTTAAGTGTTTTAGATGACGTAAATTATCCGACGGGTCACTGATTGAGGACGTTTTGAGAAAGAACACCAATAATTTCGAAGCTCTCTTACATGAAACTGATGTAAAGAAAGGGGTGAATATGATATGATAATATTGATTTTTCGGATGACAAATCAAATGATATCATCGGTAGGCAATTGAATACGTCACACTTGATGCACTCATAAGTGCTCCCCTCCCCCCTCCCCTCCCTTGTGTACTGAACTATTGGCTTATTGGCTTCTACAAGGCAGACTTCGATACGCAAGACCACCACGATGACACTATTGGCCAGCTGCCAGCCAATCAATTATCTCATATTTAATCCCATGTAAATCATTTAACTTCTCAATATTGTTTGGGTTGCAAGTGATGGTCCTTCCCCTCTCTATACTCTTAATAGTTGCAGTGAGCAAGCAAGCTATAGAGCCTGTACGTTCTTTCTTCTGTTAAATAAATCTTGATGCGAGTTATATAATCAGTGAAAATCAGTTTTCATTAATTTACATTCCTTCGTTATTGGAAGTGACCCATTTGTTTTCATGGTGACAAGACCAACCACTAAATAACACAAGTTTCCAGGCACCTGAGGATAAAATTTTTAGTCAGGAATTAAAAAATAAATAACATAATGGAGCAAAATGTTAATTGAAACAAACCACTCAGGATGTCACGATTCGAATTTCTTCACCTATTCGATCGAATCCAATCTATTCAATCCAACTCACTACATTCGCGTTCAAATGTTTTTTTTTCAGTGCAAAAGTTACACATCTGATTTCGGTTATCAAAACCAAAATTAAGCATTCTACGAATATCCATATTTTGAAATTAAGAACTCTTATTTGAAAATGTACTCGCTACAAAAAGCAACATTTATTGAGGGATCATGAATTCTTTTCCCTTGAGATAAAATCCGTAGAAAACACGAAATTGTGTTTATGTTTTTCTTATTAGAGACTAGTTAGAGAATATTAGAGAAAAGGCTTATCATGAACAGAAAACAAACAAATATAAACAGATTGTATGCAACCACGGTGTAAATGTAACGTCACAAGTCATTTCTACTATTAACCAGCCACTATTGCTATAGTCTAAGGAGAATATTTGGTAAATGGCAACATATTGCAATTCAACTTTGAATATAGAATATTTTATTGTCAGCCAATTTGTAGTTTGCGAACTAATAACAGGCATATCTGCACATTTTTTTCAAAGTGAGCTTAGTAATGGACCAAAGAGTGATCCCAAACCACATGACATTTTTCAATATTTAAACTACGCATTCGATTGCTCAATTTATAGAATTAAATAAAGATTATTATTATTATTAAGTAATAAGGATTAATAAATGAGTATCGAAATGTGAGTTACATTGCTCAAAATGACCACTGGAAGCTAATCTTTTTCAACAAGTTTAATGCCTCCTTAAACAATATATTAGTGATTAAAATGACAATGGATAAAAGCCGACATATCTAACCCTAATCACAAAGCACTTATAAATAGAGTACATTTGCAAGGTGACAAGTGTGAGATGTTGGTAAACAAAGCTTTTTTAATAGGTGGGAAACGAGCTGATTAACAATGAGAATTTTAGCGCACGAGTATATGGTTGATTAACAAAAAAATGCATTGAATTAAAGTGCTGAAAATAATGGTTGTCATACGGCCTATTCATCAACACACGCGTGAATTTCATGAGACATAAAAATATTGCTTTTAAGTCCAAAGTTGGTATGGGCATAGCACGAATCAGATGACCCAATCTCCTTGTTTATCTAAAATGAATAGCCCCAGGAAAATGACTAAAATATGTGATTATTTCTCAATAGATGATTTTACCATTTAAGCGACAAACCCCGATTACTCTTGGAGGTTACTTCTAAATAACTTTTACGAATATTTTCTAACTAGAATATCGATTTATAAGAATAAGCACAAGATAACTATCTTCATTTCGTCAAAATTGACAGTGCCGACATGTTGTAGTGAAACCTAACTGAAAAAACTTGAACTACCTATTGTCATTCGAAATACACCATCTCGTTAATAAAAGGTCTTAATTTTTGATGTGTAAAAAGTTTACAAAGAAAAAATTAAACTTCTTCGAAATGGGAATATTTCTGAGAAAACGTCAATTGAAACCAATCTTATAAAGAAAAAAGAAATGAAATCAGAGCAACAAAAGTGTTTTTGAAATCTGATCGTTGTCCTCTCCTGTTTGGATACTGTCAACAGCATCGGAATTTCCTTGCAGTCAATTAGATTTGGTGGTTGGTGAACCATATAAATGAACAATATTGAAATTACGCAATCACTGCTGGTTTTGCAATGTCATCACGCTTCTAAGTTTTAAGCTTTTCAAACATTTTTTTCCCGAATTTAAAACAATTTGGCGAATTACAAAATGAAAAAAGTCATCAATACATGTCCATTTTTTTCATAATTACAATCATTAGTAGAGATTATTTCAATTAAAAAATATGGAAGAAATCAATCCAAATACTGGAAAGAATTAAGCTATTCAACACAAAACACTTTAAAAGTAAATAAATTGACTTATTGCAGTATCATTGCAAAGATGAAATCGATTTTGGCAGTCACTAATCACCAGAGAACCAACTTTAGAATGATGCCAAGGTGAGGTATTCAATTAAAAAAATAACTTACAACAAATCTGACCTTTAACTCTATGAAAAATGACCAGAAATCAAAGTGAGCGTATGGGAAATTTGACGAACAAATACACCTTCAAGTAACCCCTGTTCCTATACTTTTTTGGCATAAATATATGTTTTGCTTCGCCACAAATCCATTTAAAGTATGCTCTTTCTTGAAAGTCGATTCTCTGTAATTAAATATTAGCTAAAACGGAATTCGTGAAAATATTTTAATATAAAACACGATAATAAGAGAATTTCACTCCGAAACTATCCACTTCACAAGGCATTAAGCGGACGCCCGAAACCCTGAGGTAGTTCAACACCCATCCTAGAGAGGATAATCACCAACTCTAACTTTAAAGTTCCAGGTAGAGACTGAAGATGCATCTTTTGGACTTATTTGACATAATTTAAAAGGCGCAATTTATAAACGGAAGCAGGATATGCAAGCCACACTAGAAGCCTCAAATTCAAGATAGGATGCAAAAGCCAGTAGGAGTTTTGATTTACTGAAACGAGATACCATCGTAAACACAATTTGTGATGATTGGCGAGTAGCAATTAAAGATTTATTTATATCAAATGGCAGGCGTCTTGATGGTTATCATTAGCCCTTTAGTTGACTTCAGGCTTCACAGAGGGAAGGAACATCAAAGTAGAAAAAAAGTCGAGAGGGGGGGGGGAACAGAAAAGTGTTTCAAAGATGTAAGAGACAAACACAAAGGTAGAACAAAGGTGAGGTGAATACTGTGGAAATAGTCGAATCTGACATATAGTGGGGTCATGGTAGTTTGAAGTCAGAAGTCAACTGCCGAATAATAGACTTTTTAGCGTATGTGAATACGTTGCCCAGGGTGCACCACGTGGAAGTAAGTCTATCGCACACCC